AAATGTTATGCTACTGTGTACTTCTACTCCACTACAGTTCAGAGGTACATGGTGTACTTTCCCTCCACTACATGTATTTAATACCTTTAGTTACTTCTCAGATGTGGATGAATGATGTGAAATATAATCAAGTGTTAAATCAGACTTTAGTTCCACCTGGAGTAAATCCACAAGCTACCCTGCAGTATACAAAGTCATTCAAACTAGCTGCACCTTTACCAGCTTTGAGAACACTTTCATGATCAATCATTATAAAACATATCATATATATTATTCTGAAATGGACCAATCTGCACAATCACTACTTTTACTGTCGCTACTTTCACTATATTTTGATGAGAATACTTTTATACTTTTACTTGAGGAACATTTTGAATGCAGGACTTTTACTGTAACAGAGTATTCCTACACTCTGGTACTTCTACTTTTACTCAAGTACAAGATCTGAGTACTTCTACTTTTACTCAAGTACAATATCTGAGTACTTCTACTTTGACTCAAGTACAAGATCTGAGTACTTCTACTTTTACTAAAGTACAAGATCTGGTACTTCTACTTTTACTCAAGAACAAGATCTGAGTACTTCTACTTTTACTAAAGTACAAGATCTGAGTACTTCTACTTTTACTAAAGTACAAGATCTGAGTACTTCTACTTTTACTAAAGTACAAGATCTGAGTACTTCTACTTTTACTAAAGTACAAGATCTGATATTTTAAACAATAATTATTTAATAATAAATCTCTGTTGTTCCAGAGAGTCCCTGCAGGAGACCGTCCTGATGTTCTGTCTCTGAGCTCCAGTCCGCCCCCCCTTGCTGGCATGGACAGCGCCCCCCGAAGGTGGGTCCTGAAGCCCCTGTCCCCCCCCCTGCAGCCCTCAGACCTGCGCAGCCTGGCCGGACCCCCCCAACCCCAAACAAACCCCCTTGAAAACATCTCCATCGCTCGCAGCCCCTCCTCCGTGGTGGTCTCCTCTCAGGGCGACCGGTCCAAAGACGTGGTGGTTCAGGTCCGGCAGGTCGCTGTGTCTCAGCCCGTGGAGGAGGAGGAAGATGAATATGAAGACTGGCCTCCAAGCAGCCCCGGCAGCAGCTCTGGTTCTCACAGTGGTTTCTACTCCTTCGTGGACGACCCGGCGAGTCCCGAAGCCGAGCAGAACCAGAACTGGATGACATCTCCGCGGCGGCAGAAGCAGTTGGCGACGCTGAAGGAGGAGCGAGGCTTCAGACTGCAGAGCTACACCGGGACCAGGAGGCCGGAGAGCCTGTTCCCAGAGACCGACGGAGACGAGAGGTACCGCCTGGACCTGAGCACCGAGGAGGTCCTGGAGGAAGAGGAGAAGCAGCTCAGGAGGGAGGAGATCATCCGGAGCCAGGCGCCGAAGAAGAGCTCCAGAGACCAGGAGGAGGACCTGAAGAGCCAGACCTCCAGAGACCAGGATGAGGAGCGACTGTCCGAGGGGTTCAGCTTCAGGCAAGTTTTTTTCTCTAATTGATTGTGATGTTATGTTAAATGTCTGTTTCCTTGTATCTTGTCTTAATATCTGTCCTTGTCTGATGTTTCAAATGGAGCTGCTGTGATGCAAGTAACATTTCAGGTTTGATCTGACAATAAACTATTATCGTATCGTATGGTAGACCTGCTGAGAACATCGACCAGGAGCAGATCAGCTTCAGCGCCGCCAGGCAGCAGTTCCTGCAGCTGGAGCAGGACCGGCTGGTTCCCTGGAGGATGCACCTGAACATGCGCTCTGCACGGTCCTCCCAACACCACAGAGAAGAATCTACAGCATTTAAAGCAGTAGAACAAGAGCAGGAGACGCACCCGGAGAGGAGGGTGGTGGTGGTGATGTCCGACGACCTGGACTCCGGTCTGGAGGAGCTCTCAGTGGGCGGGGGGTACGGCAGCGACGAGGGCATCTTTAACGACACCAGGAGAATCTACGAAACCCCCATCGAGAGGGAGATCCAGTACGAGACCCCCATCGAGAGGGAGATCCTTAATGAGACCCCCATCGAGAGGGAGATCCGGTTGGTTCAGGAGCGAGAGGAGAACCTGAGGAGATCTCGAGGCCTGACGCTCAGCGACTGCAGGGGGGAGATGATCCAGATCAAAACCAAACGACTTCTGACGCCGGTCTGTGGTGGTCCTTTTTATTTATCAAATGACATAAAGAATCATCAGCTGTCTTTTATTTCTCTTGCAAGAAAGTTAGGTCAGTCGTACATCACTGTCTGCAGAGTGAAAGACAGATGGGTAGAGTTTGTGTTGCATATTTAAAGACTAGGAGGTACAACTCACGAAAGGTACCCCTTTGCTTTAGTTCCAATCAGAGGAGTTACGGGCATTTGCGATACCAGAATGTTTTAGGATCAGCAGGAGATGAAGGTCACAAAGAGTGTCAATAATAACTTTGTATTTAATCTTCTTAATAAGGACATTTCCCAAGCCTAGCAAAGACCTGAAAGTGGGTAAACAGAGACAAACCTCAGCATACGAGTCTTGTAATGAAAGTAAAGTGATTTTTCTGTTACAGGTCAAAGCCAGGGAGAAGAACCGGGTGAGCTTCCTGATCCAGAGGGAGATCCAGAAGGAGACCCAGAGGAAGGAGGTTCCTCCGCAGGAAATGAGGAGCGACTTACACCAGAGAGGCGAGGACGAGAGGACAGAAGAAAGACCGGCGTCCGAGTCTGGAGACACCGAAGTCTTCCCGTCTCCCTGCTGTCCTCAGCCAGAGGAAACTGAGCTGTTCATCAGGAGTTCAGCTGCTTCCTCCCCTCGATCCTCCTCACCTTTCTCACCCTCCTCACCTTCCTCACCCACACCTCGGTCCTGGAGGCAGAACCTGCAGACCACCGGCCTGCAAACCCGAGGACAAGGAACGCCTGACTTCATCGAGAAGGAGATCCAGGAGACGCTGAGGAGGGAACAAGAGCTCAGGGAATCCAGGGAGTCCAGGGATCTGAAGGAGTCCAAGGAGTCCAGGGATTCCAGGGAGTCAAGAGAGTCTAGAGAGTCTGGAGAGTCTAGAGAGTCCGGGGATTTGAAGGAGTCTAGAGAGTCTAGAGAGTCTAGAGAGTCTAGAGAGTCTAGAGAGTCTAGAGAATCAAGAGAGTCTAGAGAGTCTAGAGAATCAAGAGAGTCTAGAGAGTCTAGAGAATCAAGAGAGTCTAGAGAGTCCAGGGAGTCCAGGGATCTGAGGGATCTGAGGGATCTGAGGGAGTCTAAAGAGTCTAGAGAGTCCAAAGAGTCCGGGGATTTGAAGGAGTCTAGAGAGTCTAGAGAGTGTAGAGAGTCCAGGGATCTGAGGGATCTGAGGGATCTGTGGGAGTCCAAAGAGTCCAGGGATCTGATGGAGTCCAGGGATTTGAAGGAGTCTAGAGAGTCTAGAGAGTGTAGAGAGTCCAGGGATCTGATGGAGTCCAGGGATCTGAAGGAGTCCAGGGAGGAGGCGGATGGACGACTCTTCTCTCCGACTCCTCTGGTGGAACAGGCAACAAAGATGGCCGTCAGTCAGTTCTACCCATCGCCAAACACAGGTATGTCTTTTGTATGAAGGCTGGATCCCTAACCAGGGCTCTGAGTCCGCTTTAACCCCTTTCCTGAACCAAACTGGTACAAGGTCCAGTTCGGAGATAGTGCCCGATTGCGGAACCAGTTCTTCCTGTTTCCACCGCAACAGGCCCCGAAAAAAGGATCAGTTATTTTAGAGTTAATTGATTCATCGCACATCGTTATCACATCAAAAGACTCATGTCAAGACTTTGAGCTCCGACTGCTGCCAGGTGAGATCTTGGCCGTCGCTATCTTGGTTTTTGGCCGTCGTTAACTTCCTTGGTTTATTACTGACATTAAGACAATTACTTCTTGTAGTACCAGTTTTCTCAAATGAAAATGAGGAATTATTTAATGCTAACTTTTGTTGAATTAAGGCGAAATCTAAAGACACAAAAAGTTATTCAAATGAACTCCTAAAAGTGGATTTTGTTTTCTTTCCACTTGTCTTAAAGACTGTAAAAGCTAAATAGCCCCAAACCTTCAATTTGACCATTGGAACAAACTCAATTATTCACAAACAATAATTTTCTTTAGCTCACCAAGTCAGAGTTAAGTTAATTGTATTTGTGAAATAATAAAAATATGTGAGAAATCACCCAAAGAATAGCAAAATGATGATTGTGAAAATGTTCAGAAAACAGCAACAAATGTGTATATATATTTAAATGTGTTGATCAGAACCTTTTAAAGGGTAGAAAACACTTTTTTAAAGCTGAAATCAGTTAATTTAAAGATAATCCTATATAGTCATAGTTTGCTAATCATAGCTTCCATTGGCTAACATTAGCCACCTTAAGCTACAGGCCATACAGAGTGAAGCCTAACTTCATTGTCAGTAAACCTCACAGTCCTGATGGAGGGTTTTCACAATAAAAGTTCCTGTACGAAGGTATTTATGATCCGAAATGAAAAGCTCAGCAGGTTTCCCCCCGCAGTGAAACCGGCATGATCTTTGACCTCAATAAAAACTGTGAGGGGTTCTCTGCAATGGAGGAATTGTTTTAATGAATATCTGAAACAAACGGTCGTCTGGCTGGAAATCAGAGGACATTTAAACATTTCAATAGTAGAAACAGCTGTTTGGTAACATGTTTGAATCCTGAATGGACCCTGCTGCTGTTCGTCTCATTTACAGTATTCACCAGAGAATGAGTAACTTAATGAGACCACGACCAAAGTTCAGCTGTTTGTGTAAATCAGTAACCAGTCAGCGGGTCCAGAACGCCTTTACTCTGAAAATCTCAACTTCCAGTAAAACCATGAGGAAGTGACCAAAGATCACACTGCAGGAGTTATACTGCTGTTCACTGACCTACCTGCACAGGTGAGCACTGAGAGAGGGAACAGCTCCACCTGCTGGACGGATTTATAACGACGTGTTAGGGTAATTGGAGGAAATTCAATATAAAAACTTAGCTGGAGGATGGGAAAATATTTTAA